TGTTATTATAAGGTACTTGCACTAGCAGTGAAGTGGTATAGTGTTATTTGAAAGTAGACTTAGATTAGTTGTAAATATATATTGCAAATTCTAGGGCGAACCACTAAAAAACGTGGTTCCTTTTACCCTTCCCCTGCTCCTGGACTAGCTAACTCACAAAACGGTGAGGGTACCCCTGTGACTGGGTCCCCCTGGAGTTTTTAACTCTGAGTTGCTCACACTGAGCCTCTAGCAATTCCTCAATTATAGTTCAGGTTTTCCTACTCCCAACACTGGTTCCCACAAAGGTTTCTGCTCATGTTTTCTTGCTCTGGTAAATATGATTCTCTATATCTACCTGTCTGTCTTTTCAGCTTGGGGAGCAGCCCTGTGACCTCACTTCTCTATGGATCTAAGAAGAGTTGAGTTTTCAGTTTGCTCAGCTTTTTATTTATTAGGAGAGAGTTGCAATTTTCAAGTTTCTTATATATTGGGCCAGAAACCAGAAGTCACATAGAGTTTTAAAATCTCTTAAATTTCTCAAAGTAGAAAAGAAATTATTTTACAAAAATATGAACTAAGCTTATTTATAAATTCTCATGTTTTTCAATTTATATATTTTATAAATAAATACATTTAAACAAAAAAAATAAAATGGTTAATTTTATGTTATGAGAATTTTTCCTTAAAAAAGAAAATAAATATAGCTCTATTTGGAAAAAAATATATATAAAAATATATTATCTAGGCCCATGACCTTCATCATTTTTATATTATGTACCGCTTTGAACATTTAATGCGAGTAATGGACTCTATTCTCTGCAAATTACACACCCAATAAAAAAAACATATATCCTATTCCTCCCCAGGACACACACATGAGTACATGATTGTGAACATAATTCCAGGGGATTCATAGGTTAATAATGCCTGAACCCAAGGAATAGGTGAGCTCCCTTTAACAAGGCTCAGTTGTTATTTTTCTCTTCCGCTTCCCATCCCATTCCCAAGTAGCTTCTTCTTCTTTCTTTGTTTTCTCTACCTCATAGCTTCTGCTTCCTTGTGATGTCAATCTGCTTCTGTATTAGCATTTCTCAGGTTCCTAGGGTACAGATCTTCCTACAAAAGTGTACATACTCCACTACTTCCTAAACATACACAACCTTGCATACCATTTCAGGTGGTCCACAGACTTCATCAGTTGGGAACACTTGGTCTAAGCCAATATTGATCAGCATGTCAGAATTCCTTACCCACTAGCCTAAATATGGCTGAGAGAGCCATAGGGTGGTATGGACTGGCAGGCAGCAACTCTCCAGCAAGGTGAGGCTCATCCTGGGTTCCCTGGAGATGTAGTTTTAGGTGAGAGGCCCACCAGACTGCACCCCTTAGGCCAGCTGGGTGGCAGCAGACAGGGTCCAGGGAGGCTTCCACCCAAGCACTGTGGATAAGGGCAGAGAGTGGGCAGGTCTGGGGAGCCTCCCCCTAGCAATCACTTCTCCAGACCTAATGGAAATCCTCAGCTGCAGGGATATAGAAGGTATCCATTCTGGTTTTCAGTGGCAGGAATAGTGCTCCCTTCCCTGCTGGGGCTGAGTTATCCCTGTGGGAATTTGGGGGAGGGAGGAGGGAAGGAGCCAAAGGCATTTACTCAGGTCTTCACCTTGGTCACCTATCCAGGTATATTTTTGGATTGAGCAACAAAGTCGGGCACCTGAATGCAGGGGATGAGAGGCTCTGGGAAACGTGAAGGGGTAGGAGGGAAGCACCTTTCCCCCCTCCTTTGACAGGGCTGGGAAGATGGGATCATCTTTGCACGCCTCGCACCCCCAGCTGCCTCACTCTCACAGCTCTTCCTTTTGCCCAGAGCTAAGCCTCTGAATGAAAATAGCCAAGGGCAAAATTTTCAAAACTGATATTCTTGAATTTTCTGTCAACCATCAGACTCCAGCAAGTCTACTTGCACTCAGCAGTTGTTTGGGAACATTAAATAAATGTGTATGTGTTTTTTTTTAATTTCTTGGTATAATTTGATAATTTTTTTTAATTTCAGCATATTATGGGGGTACAGATGTTTAGGTTACATATGTTGACCTTGCCCCACCCCCCCAGCTTCAAGCGTGTCCATCCCCCGGATGCTTCGCATGGCACTCTTTGTGTATGCATATACCCGTGCCCTCCTCCCCCCTCCCCCCTTCCCCCTGCCCGACATCCAATAAATGCTATTCTTATATGTGCACTTCATGAGAGAACCAACCATTTATGAAAATTCTTTTAAAATGTATGCTTCGTATGTAGCCAATTGAATTCATTGTATGGCAAAAGTTAACATTATGAATTAAATTTGGCTTCTATTCTGAGTAGAAAATTTTGGAATCTTGTTGGGTTTTGTCTCTAGCCTAAACACTTTCTCCCAAATGAAATAGCTTTATTTAATTTTGTGCTTATTATAAGAATAACTTATGCTGAGGGGAGTAAATTAAATAAAGCCAAAAAATATTAAAAAGAAAATAAAACCCCTACTGCTTCCCTACTTGACGATATACCCTGTACCAATTATGGGAAGGTCTGGACCACAGGCAGAATGAACATCAGTGGCTGAGTGGAGAAGTAGACTGAAGGAGTACGTGCCTTGGGATAAAAGGAGAAAAAGAAAAAAAAATTCCTCAGAGATGTGCCAGTCGCCAGCAGTCCTAGGAGAAGATGCAGCCCTTACCTGATAACCACAGAAGAATAAATACATACCACAGGGGGAAAAGGCAACATTTGACCTCTGGGATTATCGAAGACCAAAATGAGTGACAAGGCCCCTGAAGTGTTGGTGGGGGGTGGGGGCGGAACTAGTGAAGGGAATAAAGTGAGCTGGTTCCTGACGCACTTTCTGCCGGTGGGAGGGGAACTAGGGACCCGAGCCCACTGGTGACGTTTTTCTCACGTGATCAGGAGCCGATGTGTGCAGAAGTCCCTCTCCTCCAGGTACCAGCTCCCTAATTTCGTGGAGGAAGACAGAATTCAGACTGAGGGACAGAGGGGGCAACAGTCCTATAGCCCTGCAGGTCGGTACAAGCCAGGGACCCCTGAGGTGGGGATGGTAACGGACAGAGGCAACAGAGGATCAGGTTGCTTTCTGGATACCACCCCCTTCCACCTCCATTCATTTTGGTGCAGAAAATTGTGTGTGTTGGGGGAGACATGTGGGTACCATCTCTTATTTCCCTGGAGAAGTGTGGGCTTCTGGCAGAAGAATATGTGAGAAGGAGTCATTTTCCCGGGATGGCTACGAATCCATCGCCGCCTGTGGACCCCCCGGGTCGGGGTGGCAAAGGGTAAAGACCAGAGCGGTTCCAGGACTGGATTCTCTCTTCTCCTTTCCCGATGTCCACCTGTTCGGTGCGAGAAATGGAGGGCTTGGCAGGGGGGAGCTCGAGAGGGGTCAAGGGTTGACAATGGGACCAGTTGGGATCTCCTAGGAGGCAGGCGATTGGGCGACATCTGATGGAGGAGAAGGGCCGGGGGAGGGGACGGCGAGGAAACCGCCGCGAGGAACCCGCCTGATCCCAGCTGGGCGGCTGGAGGCAGGCGTAGTAGGTGACCCCGGGATGCGGAGGACAGACCCTGCAACCGGTCCCGGCCTGAGTTCCCCGTATCTCTTCTCCATTCTCCGTCCATTTTGGAGCCGGAAATGGTGGGTGGAGGGGGTCGGGGGAGGAGGTGCTACAGAAGGGAAGGGCAGAGGTTTGGTCTGGGGACCAGCTGCCTATCGAGGAGGAGTGGCTTCTGAGCTAGGGAGGGTTGAGAGGAGGCGGCACGGACCAAACATTTTACTGAGTTTGTAAATAATTTTTCTCTTACATTGCAGGAAAATGTGGGCTTTCTGTGTATGTGGGGAGAGAGGGGGTAGCAGGAGTGCTCTGGACATTTCTGCCGTGCCCCATGTGTGTCATCACCATTTTCAGAAAAGCGGTAGGCTTTGCGCTATTCCCTATCCAGATGTGAGGGGTTTGGAATGCAGAGAACTGAGTACAGCTGGATCTGCTTTCTGAACATCCCTGTCCTGAACCCCACTCATTTTAGTGCCAGAAAAAGTGAGAGAGAAATTTGAGAGGGGGATTCAGAAACATAGAAACACTTTGGCAATAATCTTTGTCTCCCATTGCCCAGTAGCAGAAAAAAATGGAGGCTCCTAGGAAGGAACTGTAGAAGGGGGAATCAGAGAAGACAAGGGAAAGGGCGAGGGGTGGTAAGAGTTGGGAAAGTTTTGACAGAATCAGAAAACGACCAGTGTCCCTGTTGCCAGTCATTCACTGTCACAATCCCTCATTCATCATCTGTCTCCTGTCTCTCTGCAGGTCTTCAGGTCTGTGGTTGTGGGCACCAACCCAGACAAGAAAAGGAAAGACCTGCAGTATCAGTGCAGGTCAGTGGAAGGAGGCAACTGCTCCAGGACCCCTGGGATAGAAGTGGCTTAAGCCAGAGCAGAAGTTTGGGAGGCCACTGCCTGGCACCCCTCTTCCAATCTTCCCTTTTGCAGTTTCGAGATACATGACCACTGTCAAAACCCTAAGGGAATATGGTGCTGTATGGCTGATGAGGATAGAGGGGAAAATAAGAAAGTGAGAAAAGGGAGGTGTGGCATCTGTGATGCCCCTTGAGGATATAAGAGTAGACCTGAAATCTGAGAACTGCCCATTGTTCTACTCTGTCTGAAGTTTTATAAGTGTTACAACTGCAGGTCAGCGAAAAAAGGAGAAAACTGCCCAAGATTCTTGCAGGTCAATGTAAGTTAAGACTACCCACTTAAAACTGGTCTGGGCATAGCCAAGGTCAGAGCAAAGTTTGGGGACCAATGTGCTCCCCACACATTTCTCAGCATACCCCCTTAATTGTAGGGATAAGCACCTGTGGAAGTTTCTGCAAGGTTGGCTCATGTGAACATGTGTGAAGTGGGAAGGAAATGAAGGAACGTTAAGGTAGGAGTGCACCTAGAAGGTGGGATAGGGTCAGGAAAATCTTGAGAAAGGCAAGTTCAATCCCCTAAGCCCTCAGTGTCCTGTGTCTCCTCTTTGTTTCCTAGCACAGGCAAAGAAGGGAAAATCTCAACATGGAAAAGCTCTACAAGGAAAATGAAGGAAAGCCAGAAAACGAAGGAAATCTAGAAAATGAGGGAAAGCCAGAAGATGAAGGAAGTACAGAAGATGAAGGAAATGGAGACGAGAAAAATACCAAAGTGGAGAAGAAGCCAGAATACAAGGCAAAGCTAGAGGATGAGGGACAGCCAGATGACAAGGAACAACGGGAAGATGAGGGAAAGCAAGCAAAGCAGGGAAAGTCCGAAGGTGAGGGCAAGCCAGAATCCCAGGCAAAGCCAGAGAGCCAGCCGCAGACCGCGGAAAAGCGCCCAGCTGAGGATTATGTGCCCCGGAAAGCAAAGAGAAAAACGGACAGGGGGACGACGGACGATTCCCCCAGGAACTCTCAGGAGGACTTACAGGAAAAGCATTTGAGCAGTGAGGAGATGATGAGAGAATGTGGAGATGTGTCAAGAGCCCAGGAGGAGCTAAGGAAAAAGCAGAAAATGAGTGGTTTTCATTGGATGCAGAGAGATGTACAGGATCCATTCTCCCCAAGGGGCCAACGGGGCGTCAGGGGAGTGAGGGGCGGAGGTAGGGGCCAGAAGGACTTAGAAGATGCTCCATATGTTTAATGTCTTTGGCCTTTAATTCCGATTTCTCTGATGGGAATATTGCCAGTCCTGCTTTCCCTGGCAGGCATTTGCCGGGTATGTGCTTTAACCTTATGCTGATACTTTCCTTTAGGTGTCACTCTTGTTACCAGCAGACTTTTGACCCACCTACGGCGCTCTTTTAGTAGAGGATTTTCACCCATGTGCATGGAAGAGATGTTCATGGTACATTGTAAAATAATAATAAAAAAAACAATTTTCAGAACTACATATACAGTATCAGCCCATTTTTGAAAGAAAAATATATATATGGTTACATAATACATCCATGCACAGGGAAAACTATGCAACTGAGTAAACCAAAGAGAAATAACAGCTTTCTCTGTGTGATGGGACCGGAGATTTATTTTTTTCTTATTTGTACTTTTTCCCCTAAAAACCACCAGTTACTTTTGTGGTAAAGGAAATAATAAAAGATAAACAAAATAGGAAAACAATACATACTAGGCAATCAAAACAACTATTCATTGAGCCTACGAAGGCAGTGGAGACACTTAAAATTCTTGTTAGAATGCAAAATGATAAATAGAACTCAGATTACCCCTGGGACTTAGAGTTGGAGGAATCAACCTGGCAGTTACTAAAGATTCACTGCTGTAAGAGACGGCCTTGCCATCTGTGAAACGGGGATAAAACTTAACCTCCTAGGACGGTGGAGTAGATCAGATGTGACACCAAGTGTGTGAACTGTCCTGGGCTGCTCCTGCCCTCTCCCCTGCACTAGCAGTACTGGGTCAGACAGTTGGGGGAGGGCTGAGGAAGGTATCACCTGTGCCCAGGAATGGGTACAGGAAGCTGAGAGGTGGGCACCACCCTTCCCTGGGTAATGCCATATCTGCTGGGCATTGTGTCCCCTCTCCTCCTAAGGCCCCCACTGCTGCTAGTGGGCTGGAGTCCTCAAGGTAACAAAGCCTCTTTGATTTTCCTGAAGTCCCTGGTGAGTTGAAGCCCCACTATGTTCCTTTCTGAACTGTCGAGAATGTCCTTCTTCTCACTTTATAGTTATGTTAATATTGGCATGAAATGTGGAAAAATGCTTTGTAAAATCTTAACTAATATATTTCTCAGGCATTATAATTGCCCCACTAGACTTGCCCTTTTCAAATAAAAGAATTTATCTCATTTAACTCATTTTGGTACCCCACAGCGCATAATAGAAGCTTAAAAAAATAAATACATTAATTACTGAGTCAGAAGGCCTTGGTTCTTGGCCCAGTTATGCCCCTGACTGAATACGTAGCCTTGAGCCTGTAATTTTGTTCTTTAGCAACTAAAACTTGCCACTTCAAAAGGAACACAGCAGATGGATTATACCACAATTCATTGCTAAACGATTTTAACATTGGGTAGTGTTTTTCAAAGTTTGCTATCTACTAGCAGACCACCTGCATCAAAATCGCCTAGCTGTCTTGTTGAAAATGCAGAAACCTGAATCCCACCTCAGACTCAATGCATCAGAATCTCTTCTGATTTGTCTGTATAACGTGTGTGTCTTTTGCTTTTAGCTTATTTTAATTTTTATCAAATGGATACATGCACAAAATCTTAAAAATCCTATAGTGCAAAAGAGTTTATTATTAAAACCTGTAGTCTGCCTTGTCATTCCATATTCCTACTCCCCAGAGGCAATTACCATAAACATTTTCAGTTTGTTATGGTATTTACCTCCATACATCTGAATAATCTGTATATACTGCTATTTCTTTTTTTAAGTTTTATTAAAATGTAATTCACATACCATAATATTCACTCTTTTAAAGTACACAATTCATTGGTTTATAGCATATTAGCAGAGTTCTGAAATCATCACCACTATCTAGTTCCAGGATATTTTCATCACCCTAAAAATAAATCTCATACCCATTAGTACATAATGGTGTGCCCATTCCCTCATGCCCCTAGCACCTGGAAAGCACTGATCACCTTTCTGTCTCTATGGATTTGTCTATACTGGACATTTCATATAAATAGAATCATACAATATGTGGTCTCTTGTGTCTGGCTTCATTCACTTTCCATAATGTTTTAAAGGTTCATCCATGTTGTAATGTATATCATTACTAAACATTTGTGTACGAGTTTTTGTGTGTAAATATATTTTCAGTTCTCTTGGGTATATACCTAGGAGTGGAATTGATAAATCATGTGATAATTCTATATTTAACTTTTCGAGGAACTGCCAAACAGTTTTCAAAAGCAACTGTGGCATTTGACAATCCCACTAGCAGTGTAGGCGTTTTCCAATTTCTCCATCTCCTTGCCAATGCTTGTTATTATCTCTATTTTTGATTAAAGCCATCTTGGTGGATATGAAGTGGCACCTTATTGTGGTTTCGATTTGCATTTCCCTAACAGCTAATGATGTTTATCATCTTTTCATGTGCTTATTGGCCATTTATATATCTTCCTTTGATAAATGTGTATTCAAATCTTTTGCCCATTTTTAAATTGGATTGTCTTTTTCTTGTTGAGTTGTAGTAGTTCTTGTTTGTTCTGAACAGAAGTCCCTTAACAGATATCTGATTTGCAACTGCTACTTCTTGATGTGTCAATTTTCATCATTATCTACTGACTTTTTGATATGATAATGGATGAATTCTCTCTTACATTTATAATCTCCACTATCTATCGCCTACCCGCCAATACAGATTTACCACATGCTATGTGTATTTTAACAAGCATCCCAGTGATTCTGTTGCTTAACTCTGAGAAACACACCATTTACATGTTTGTCAGGAGAGGCTAAGCTTATGCTAGAGTAGCTAACAACCTCAAAACCTCAGTGGCTTATCACAAAAAAGGTTTATTTCTCAAACTTCATGAAGGTTGAGGGATGGAGAAGTTCTGCTCCTCATAGTCTCTCAGGGATACAGACTAGCTGTGATGCTACTGCAGCAGAGGAAGAGAGTGTGCAGAGATCTCGTATTCACTGGTCTAGAAGTGACAGAAATCATCGCTGTTCACAGCCTACATCTTCATATTTCTAGCTCCTTTAATTTTGACAAGCAACTCTGAGAGAGGTATTATTATGCCCTCTATATAGGTGACTGAACTGAGGCTCAAAGAGGGTAAATGATTTATTCAAGATCACGTGCTAATAAGAGGAATGGCACAGATTGAAACCCAGGTTGATCTGGCTCTAATGCAATAATCCTTAACCAGTTTGCTTTCCTAAATCTAAGGATTTAAATTTTATCTTCACTTTATTGTCCAAACAGTCCTTTAAGATGTCAGAAAAGTGGTAATGTTTCCTCAGATGACAAATCTAAAGAGCAAGGCCCACAATGGCATTGCTTCCTCTATCATCGATGCCTTAATAAGGTATTTTCACACCAATTCACAGCTTGACTGCGTTGGCCCTCAAATCACGAGCTGTCTCTGCAGTGAATGTGGGTGTTTAGGCAGGTGGTGGCACCTCTTTCTCTTGAGTTGTAGGACTGCATGCTCCTACAACTCCTGCAAGCTCCCTTTGCCTGGGGTCTCAAACTTTTGGGCCTGGGCTGACTTGAACAACAGATACACTGTACCAGGCACCAAAATAGGCCCAGACACAATCAAATCCCTTCTGGGAGTCTGAGAAAAGTGTGTTGTGGTTATTTTCCTAACTGCATTCCTGCCCCACTTGTTCCAGTGGCTGTTTCAGCAGACTCTGAGAGAAGAATTCAACTCTGTTACCTTAACCCCAAATTATCTGGTTAAACCCAGATTGCAGCTGATTCCAACAAGGAAAAATGCCTTAAATTTTTATGCTATGGAGTTTATTTCCATCCCTACAAAAGTCTCCTACATATTCCAAAAGGAAAGAGAACAGGAAAAAATGCAAAGCTTTATGACTGATAATGAAGGGAGTCTTGTTATTGGAGACTATTGAACCTATCACTCATCCATTTGAGCCAATAGACAGTGGCCAGTGTTGCTGAGGACATCCATATAATAGAAGATATCTCCTTTACTTTTCCCTCACTCCCCTGCCAAACCTAAGAAATTCTTTTAGAATAAGGAGAGAAATATTCCCGAGAATATTTCCTGTCCAGTACAAGCCACTAAAGAGTCTGTGCTGCTTGTGGGAACCAAAAGGAACTGTAAATTGAACATAATGTTTAAGTTGTAAAACAAACAAGACAATTTCCAGCTTCTGCTCCAAATGGAGAGCTGAAAAGAATGGCACTTGCACATTTATGACAGGAAAAAAAGTTGGACAAAATGCAATATAACATATTTTCTTAAAACCATCAGAGAATTCAGCTCACAGGGCAAACAATTATCCCAAAATCTAGAGAGAGACACTTGGAAGGAGAAATAGTACCCCAACATTTGCTTACCTGAAATAGATACCACCAAACGCCATGTAGACCAGTAAGAAAATTGAGCTAGAAATTGTCAATGGATTTCTAAAGACTGAGTGAGGGCTAGCATGAGAATATGTGAAGTCCCTGAGGGCCACAGACATAAAGAGGCTTGCGTCCTCTTTCAGGCTTTACTCCAGAAACCTCAGTAGGTGCTCCTAGAGAAGATCAGTGGGAATCTGAAAAAGCTTGCCCCATAGTGCCAGCTAAGAGAGAGAAATAGTTGTCACTGCTGACATTTTAACTAGACCCATTTTCCGTAGTAAATAAAAATCTTAATCTGCAGGAAGAAGGACAACAAAACCCATACCCTGAAGTTACTGGTGGAAATCCCCTGGAACTGGGGAAATGAAACAGAAAAATAAAAGCTCTATGAGGAGAAGAGGGCAGCCAGGTGTGCTAGGCTCAGCATTATTTCTGGAGGAGAGACATGAACACATGTGAAGTCTACACCACTAAGACTCAGGCTTTCAGTGCCTACCTACGATGAAGACCTGGTAAAAATATCAGAGAATGCCCTTTCTGCTCCCCAATGCTATGCTAAGAAATAACGTATAAAAATACAGTGGAGGACAACAACAAGAGACAGATTCTTTTTGGGGGACAGCACAAAGGGAAAATGCAAAGCCAAGTGGAAAGACATAGAGACAAATGGGAAGAAACCCCATCAAACTCAGCCCAACTTCTGACTAGATTTAAGTAAACCTCCACACTAAAACTTAGCAGAAAGAAAGACATGGATATATCCAAGCATAATGTCTATTTACATCAGTAATTACTACCTATACACATCCAGCTTTCAAGTAAAAATTATGAAAAATACAAAAATACAAGAAATCAAAACAGACAAAGCAATCATC